AGAAGAAGAAGAAGAAGAAGAAGAAGAAGAAGAAGAAGAAGAAGAAGAAGAAGAAGAAGAAGAAGAAGAAGAAGAAGAAGAAGAAGAAGAAGAAGAATAATTTAGGTGATTTGGTGATTTGTTTGTGTGTTTCTGTGTATGTGTGTCTCTACCAGTCTATATGGATCTGTGTGTATGTGTAAGTCTATTTGAGAATAGATCTATGTGTGTCTGTATAAGTGTCTGTGAATGTTTGTATGTGACTAAATTTGTATGAGCATGTTGCTGTGAGAGTGTGTGTCTGAGTATCTGTGAATCTCTGTGTGTTTATGTATGTATGCATGTACATGTGTTTGTGTTTTTGTTTGTGTGTGCATGATTTTCATTGTGTGTGTATGTGAATATGCATCTGTGTCTCTGTGTCACTTTGTGAGTGGAACTTTGTGTCTATGTGTGTCTGTACATTGCTCTCTGAGAGTGTATGTTGGCAAGTGTGGAAACATCTGTGCTTCTGTGTGATTGTCTGTAGTGCACCTCTGTGTGTATGTGTCTCTGTGCACATGTGTCTATGACTGTATATATGAATATCTATGTGTGTCTCTGTGTTTTAGTGTATGACTCTGTTTTGTTTGTACATTTGTGTGAGTGTATCTCTGTTTGCCTATGTGTTTGTGCATGTCTCCATGAGTATATATCTGTGTATGTATGTGTTCTTGCATTCTTCTCTGTATGTGTAGGTGTGTGTGTTTTTGTGTCTGATCATGAGTATTTGCATATAATTGGTTGTGTGTGTGATTGTGTGTACATGTGTAAGTGTTATTCTCCCTGCGAAATCGACTTCAGTGGTCTACAGAATAAAGGGAGATATAACAGCAGGAAGAAGAGCTCTCTCTAGGATTATATACATTAGTATACATTATTATCTTCTTGCTAGGGTCTACAAAAATGTTGTTATCACCTTATCATGCCAATATTCTTGTTCATGTCTCTTGATATTTTTGATGTTAAATTCAGGTCTCTTTATAGTGATTATTAGAGAAGGCCCTGCCTACATTGTCCTCTCCTACCTGACCTTGCTCATCCAGACCTACCCTATTTGGCTGCCTTTTCCTGCTCCTATTGGGGCTATGCTGGACTTTGCTTGCTTGTCTGTTTTGAGGTTTTGTATTTCAGATGGAGTGATATCAAGGTACCCAGGGAGCTTATCATGTCAATCTTCTGCTTCTTTTCACCTCCTTAATACTAACTTTCACCTACCAAAGCACCCCTTTGTGCTGACATCAAGAGTCCTCTGGGTCTATTTAACACTCTCAGTAGTTTATCTCAGGGCAAGCTCCCTTAGTCATACTGAGGCTCATTAACAGGATCACACGTACATCTGGATGTGAGAATCAAGAAATTGATTTGCTAGCCACTGGGAAGTCATGGATGGGTAGGAAACAAACCACTGGAAACAGAAGATGGACTTGCTCTACTGCTGAAGCCATCTTGTGCCCACTCTCCCACAGTGACTGAGGATGCACTGGATGGGCAGGCATCACATTGAGGTTACTGGGGAGGCTGCACCAGGCTTAGCCACTCTGCACATAGAGGGTGGGGTGCTGATGAAAGTATGGTTTCCTTGATGATCTTCCTTCGTGGAAACCTGCTGTAAGCAGTACTGAAAGGGTGGGAAGTCTACAGAAAAAAAAATTGGCTCTGAGTACCAGGCTTTCTTTAGACAGATGCAACAGAGCATCCTGGCTTATGCTGACTCTAGCTTGGCACCCACCCATGGTTGTCCGCTATCCCCTCACCCCAAGTCCTAGTCCTGGCCAGTTGAGAACACAGAAGAATAACCAGGTGTGAATACCAGATTTTTTTTTAATTATTGTGCTCATTCAGTGTTCCAGAATCCTGTCATCTGCTTAAAAATTCTCCCACATAAAAAAGCAGCTAACGTGTTTCTGTGATTAAAATCTGTGATTTTTCCCCTGTGGTTCCATAACCCCTTCATATTTACTTGGTTAGTATATTCACAGAGAGGCAATGAAATTATTCATTTTCTGTGGCTATAGTGGCATTTCTTTACATTAAAACCATTCTACATTAGGACAGTCGGATGATCTGTGGAGGCTAGACAAAAAGGCAACACCAAAGGATACTGGGTATAGGTGTTTGAAGTAGGGGTATGGTCTTACGGACATGATGACAAAGCAGTGATGTGGGAGTGATTTCTTACTAATAAACTGCCTCGGCCCTCATAGGACAGAAAATTAGGTAGGCGGAGTAGACAGAAGAGAATGCTGGGAAAAAGAAGCTGAGTCAGTGAGTCGCCATGATTCTCCTGCTCCAGACAGACGCAGGTTAAGATCCTCCCTGGTAAGCCAGCTCATGGGCTACACAGAATATTAGAAATGGGTTAGAACAATATGTAAGAGCTAGCCAATAAGAAGCTGGAACTAGCCGGGCCAGGCAGAGTTTGAAAGAATACAGTTTCCGTGTAATTATTTCTGGGTATAAACTAGCCATGCGGGCGGCCGGGTGCCGGGGACGCAGCCCTGCCGCTCCTATTTCAACAGATGGCGCCCAGACGTGATGGGCTAAATCCACTTAAAAACCTGAGAAGGCTTAAAAATAAGGGAGAGAGAGTTTAACACAGATTTTTGCTGTTTTGTTGGTGGCGTGCTGTAGAGAGATTCCTGATTCAGCTACAACAGCAGAAAAATAAGCTACATCATTTTAAAGCGCGGCTTCCTGGGGGCTGTGCTGCCAGCATGAACTCTGGCTTTAAAGCATTTCAAGGCTTTTATGGGACTGGATGTTTGTGTTCCGCTTGGGATCGGAGGAGAGTGCTCTGAGACCGTGCAGATGGCTCAGAGCTCCCCGCCTGCACCTGGGCAGAAGGCAGAATCAAGCTTAGGCAGGCGGAAGAGCATGGCGGATTCCTGCCGCTATACAGAGACGCATTTTCAGACTGCGCAGTGCTCTGCATGTCAGATTTGGCTGTAACTTGGATGAAAAGAGTTTCTGTGCTGCACACTCAGTCTCAGAGTTAAACTGCTGAGTGCGGCTCCAATGTGGACTTGCTGTGTGCCTGAAACTGTGAATGGTTCAGGGGCACCAAATGACTCTGAGGCAGGAGCGGCTGCTCCATGCTGAACTGTGCTGATCTCAGGCAGGAACTACCGTAATTACCTTAAAACCGTGCAGTTAAGGTTTAGACTGGGCAGGACACAGGCAGTACCGTATTACCTGTAAATGGTGCAACTTAAGTTTTTAAGAAATGCTTAACATTTTAAGAAATGCTCCTGTATAGTAAAGAAATTACAGATTCACAATAAAACAGATTCAGACACTGTTGGATAAATGTACGTAGGCTTGGGAAAGAGAAGAAAAAGAATATAAAGAATAAAGTTAATGTCTTAAAAAGAAAAAGGGTAAAGTCTTTAAAGAGACAGAGTACAGAAGTACAGAGAGTTATAGATTAAAAGAAATAAAGAAATATAAGCCACGTAAAAATGGAAAATTCACAGAGAGTCTGGATTATGTACATTGTGTTTTCTTTAAAATTTTTGACTGTGAAGGAGCTAAGTACAGAGAGACATTTCATTACATGGGCTGCCAATCTAAACCAAAATGGATATAAGGGTATTATGATTTCAGAATTTGGGTCTAAGGATATGATGCTTTGGAGAGGGTCTTCTTTTGTTTTTGCAGAGGATGAGACCCTGTGGATTGCATCTATTCCGATTTGGTATGATAGACCACGCCCTCCTGAAAGGTTGCTGTGAATACCCTCAAAAAATTGCTTCGCTCAATTGCCAACTGAGATGAAACTAGCATACAGGTTATATCATGAACAACCTAATTAACGACGCCCCTATTCAGCAGGAAGCAGTTTGTAGAGAAAAAACTACGCCCATGTTCCCAAATATTGTTTATAAATGTTCTTTTACATTTAAAGGGGGATATGATATAGATATGAATAATTTGCATTGGTATGGATTTTATGGTCAATTTTGTTATATGTATATGTATTTTTGATCTTGATTAAGGTATTGTGATTGTGTAGTTCATTTAAAAATGTAATGTATAATTAGGAAATATAGGTTGTTAATGGATAATCATCGCTAATACTTAAGCTTGTAGTCATGTTAGTTAGATTTTCTAGATATATAGAGAGATATTTTAGTTAGATAGGCATTCTTCATATCTTTCAAAGGCTGCAGAATATGGCATTTAAGATATTTTAATAACTTAGGGTTTTTCATGACAATGAGACACATTTGCTCCTGGCAGCACCAATCTATTTCAAGAGGAAGATGGGCATCGAAGAGAATCCTTATGGAGTTTGATAGCCATTTGGGCAAGAAACTGCTCTTGCCTGGACTGTTGCATAAACTGGACACAGAGAACCCGCAGAGAGAGGACTGCTGAACTTGCCTAAAGGTGAGATGACCTTTTGGGGTTCCTGCTTCATGAAAGAGTCTGTGAGACATTCTGCAGGACACAGCAAAAAGTGACTGAACTGTCTTTGGAATTTCTTGCTTGATGAGAATGTCTGCTGGATACTATGGGCCTGTAGGCCGAAGATGGATGCCCCAACGGTACAGAGGAACTTTGGGTGACTGTCCAGGCAGCGAGATGTCTCTGTCATTTCTAGAGTTTTCTTATTTCTTGTTTGATAGGTAATATTATATCCTTCTGGAGTCTTTGATGGAGTTGAAGAATGGTTAGTTATAGTTTTCCTTAGTTATGATAAGAGATAAAATAGATATAAATATTGTAACTGTAATTCTTACTTGATAACTGTTTTGTTATATGTAATTTTACTATGTTAAAGTTAAAGCCTTTCTTTTTTGTTTAAACAGAAAAAGGGGAAATGATGTGGGAGTGATTTCTTATTAATAAAGAAACTGCCTTGGCCCATTTTATTGGATAGAAAATTAGGTAGGCGGAGTAGACAGAGGAGAATGCTGGGAAAAAGAAGCTGTGTGAGGAGTCGCCATGGTTCTCCCGCTCCAGACAGACGCAGGTTAAGATCCTCCCTGGTAAGCCAGCTCATGGGCTACACAGAATATTAGAAATGGGTTAGAACAATATGTAAGAGCTAGCCAATAAGAAGCTGGAACTAGCCGGGCCAGGCAGAGTTTGAAAGAATACAGTTTCCATGTAATTATTTCTGGGTATAAACTAGCCATGCGGGCGGCCGGGTGCCGGGGACGCAGCCCTGCCGCTCCTAATTTCAACAAAGCAGAAGAGTCAACTTAAACAAGAAACAAATTAGCCAGTTTTAGTAAACACACAGAGAGATAGACAAAGACGGAGACAAGAGAAACAGGGAGGGAGAGTTATGCTCTACTTTCGGTCATGTGCAAATACACACCATTACCATTGAATGTCCTAGTCCCAAATCATGAGCTAAGTGCATGCAAGTAGAAGCCAAAGGTTTTGCATGAGAATTCTCATGAAGCTAAGCCCTGTCTCAACTTCTGACTGTCCACCTGTTCTTCTGTTACCAAGACTAGGTAGATGATTTTTTTTTGTCAGATCGATACAGTCTAAAACATTCGAATCTCTGCCCACTAATGTCATGTGGTCTACATGTTAAACCCTTCAGAGATTCCAGAAATATGCAGCTTCTAGATATCAAAATGTCTGAAATAAAATTGGAGCTGACAACAGCAAAATTCATACCTGTGTACTCAAAATTTTCCAATTTGAACTCATGTTTCATCCCAAAAGATGCCTGAAGACAGACTTTAAGCAATTTGTTATTAGTGGTCAAATCATCTTTCCAGTTGTTGCAAAGACCAGATCTTCAACTTACCTTTGCTGTGTTTCTGTTCCTTGTCTTTGCTTCTGGGCATGTCATCACACTTTCTTGTTTTTTCATACACTGAGACATTGTGTATATACCGCACAGTATAAACGTTCTTGATCATTACATGCTCTTAGGATGGGATACATGTATACTGTTATTTGTCCATCAGCAGCAGAGCTACATTCTAAGAAATGTGTCCGGTGAAGATCATGGTGTTCACTTAAACAAAATATCGTTATAAGATGCATAAATAAACAGTTAACTTAGCTGAAAAAAAAAAAACTGCAAGCAGCCTCTCTTGCAGATGGTGGAAACCCAGGCTCTCTCTGAAATTGGAAGCCCAGCTTATACTTTATGCATCATTTTAGGATCATTTAGAGTTGGACATTGAAAATTTACAGAATGAGGGGGTCTCCTGCATAACCCTCATTTCTATCCATATCTACCTGACTTAATTGTCCCAAACTCTATCCTCTGGTATTAGTAGCCCATACAGATGCAAGTTCTCCAATTGTATTTTCAGCTACCCTTCAAGATACCTAGTTAGAAATTATCCAAAGCTAATGGCCTTGAAACAATGGAAAATACCTCAAAGTACTAGACTAGACTCAACCCCATCTCATACTATCTGCTTTTTGGGTCACTTGGGTAATTTCAGAAAGTTGCCTTTGTACTACGTTTTAGATTTCCAAGTCAAGATTCTGTTCACTCTAACATTTAAAGAATTTAAATGTTATGGTTATTATGTTTAATATTAATAATTTGTGGGGCAGGCAAGTGCTGTGCACAATTCCAGCTACTAAAGCAGCTGAGGTATGTGAATCCTCAGTTCAGCTCAGGGGTTCAGGGAGCGATACAAACACAAGTCACTATCTCTATGCATATTAACAGAACATGAAGTTAATAAAAGTTTGATATAAAATACGTATAGATTATATTTATGGATAGATCTGTATCTTGTTTCTCTTATTTACAAGACCCGAGACCCTTTTCTGTGATATGAAACAGAACGTCACCTCAGCTGGACAGAAGGATACCCATTCATTTCCACACACTGCTAGAAAACACCAATGAAGATGAAGTTGTTTGGGTAAGGCAGAAGAGAAAGGTTTCTATCAGGGTGTAGAGGATTTTTCCCACTTTGATTTTTTTTTTATTTTCACATACTATGAATTTTTCTGTGGGTTGTGAGGGAAAGATCTAGTGGGGCGGTGTAAAAGCAGATAAAAATATAAGTTAACCCCTCTAGTGAATCTATGTGAAAGAGGATAAGGGGGAACTGAACACGTGGAGAAGGTAAGCAGAAGATGTTAGCTCAGGACAATGAGCTCTGCACGTTGAGCCTGGTTCATCTCACCCACCATCCCCCCTCCTCCTGTGTGCTGAGGGAGGAGATCTCGGTTGCATATGCCTGCCCATCCATGTCAAAAACACAAAATATGTTCTTTGTTTTAATAAACAGAATGAAGTAACACATCCTGCAGCTTTAGACAGGACCCTCTTCAGGGAATTGGGGACCTGGACTGAGCAGAGCAAAGACAGGAAACATGGCTCTGTTTTTCTTTTTCATTATTTATTTTATTTTTTCCTTTTCCTTTTCTCTTAAAGATTGCCATTGTTTCCACTTAGGCTTCATAAAGCATCTGCCACTCCAAGTAGTGACCTCACCCCACAGGAAAACACAGCCTCAATTCTAGTCAAGATTTAAATTGAGGGGATTTTTTTTCATTTACTTAGTACAATTTTATTTTTTTAATATCTCAGAAATTTGGAATATATTGTCCCTGTTCACGTTATATGCCCAGCTTCATGATACACATTAGTTTTATGTTTTGTTTTGTTTTAGTGTGACCCTAAGGATGCATTGCCATAGATGTACCTCTTTACAAGGTCCTTAGTGGCCCGTAGACATGGAGGACAATCAGGGGGGAGGGAAGAAAGTGATGAGCTGCTGATGTACTGCATTTGGATGAAGAATGATAGGAAAGATGGAAACTAAATGCAGTGGATAGGGAAGAACTTGCTTCACAAGGTGAGTTGGAAACCTCAGGGCAGTCCCCATACAGATAAAACTAGAAAACAGAATGTTCCCATGCCCATGCTTTGAAGACAAATGTGGCATTCGTGAAGGACACAGGACCTACCCATTCAGTGCACCACAGTATGCCACACCATAACTACCTCTAACAAATGGCAACTCTGAAGCTACTCTATAAGCCTACAAAGAACCATGGTTTGAGATTTGAAAGCCTAGCTTATACTCTAGCTAGCAATGTGTACGTGTTCAGAAGCCTAGAGAGATAAATGTAACTGATGGGGCACATAGCACACAGCAGTTACTCTAATACCCAGCCTCTAAAGCCTTCCCCAAATCATGTCACAGGTGTTTCCTCAGTATGAATGCTTGCTCACTAATATATGGACAACAACACAGGCCAATCCTCATATCCAACAGTAATACCCTAGGGTCTAGAGTTGAGAAAGACTGTTCTGCAGAGTCTCCTCAGTGACAGCACATAGACCGGGAAAAGCAGCTGGGTGGAACACTGCTCTCCTTTCTTAGATCTGGGCAAGGCTTCCTAAGATACATCTGTTTTCTTAATTCGTTCTTTATGAAACCATTACTCACCTCCAAGTTCATAACTATATGCCAGATTTCTGGTTCTTCATCCCCCCACTCCTAAGACATTAAAATATGGATATTAGCTTCCCTAAATCAAGAAATTTGTACCTCCAATAAAGTAGCTGTCCCACACAATCAGTGCTGTAGATAATCTGCAGAGAGGGCCACACATATTAAACTACACGAAATGGGCCCTTGCACTTCAGATAAGAAAATGGATTTGTTATATCTGCAGAAAGGTGGGAATGAGAGTGAAACCCTGCCATACCTCTGATTTCATCTCTATGCTGACTGCACACACCTACCTATCATATTGGTAAACAGACAGACAAAGTGCCTTAGCTGTTCCTTGCAAAAATCTCTGATATGGGAAGGACCCATGCACAGTTCTCATTTCCATGAACCCAATGCCAAAGCATTTTGTTTATTGCCTGGATAGCAAAATTTTGCTGAAGAGTTATCAAGTATCTTGATACAGCCAATCCTATAAATTCTATAATTAATACGGACTTGTTTTGGATCATTCAGATATCAGAGACTTCAACCTGAGAATATGGCGGCAATGGCATACAGCATCTTGTCTGGCAGAGAATGGTACTGGCCAAATCACCCATCTCTCTTTTCTTAGATGTTTTGTAATGCCTTCATTTCCCAACCGACCTAAATGTAGATGTACATTCAAGACCCTTTTACTTCCTGTCTTGTGGCATTCAGGTTAAACATTAGATCCATAATTCAGGCACTATCCTATTTCTGGTTAACATGTTTTTGTGGTCCAGCCCAGAGCTTGCATCCCCTAAGCCAGTACCCCACAACTGAGATGCACATCCATCTCTATGCCACTCTTGCACAGACATGTGATAGCCCTAGATAAAGTGAGTGATGCTTCAATTGATGGAGAAGCAATAATAAAATAGACATTATTACTGATTGATAAAAACCATATCCCTTCTTTTATTTTTTAAAATTTCATCTTTATGCTTAGATAATAAGCAGTATGATTTATCCATTTAAGAACCCAGTTCAATCCATGCAAAAGTTAGTGACGCTAATTACAATTAGACTCTTTCTACCTCAATTCCATATGTGATGTGGGAGTGTCATATATCAATCTGTTGATTTTATTGGTTAATTAAAGAAACTGCTTGGCTCACCTCATAGGTTAGAACATTGTTGGGAGGAGTAAACAGAATAGGATTCTTGGCGAAAGAGGAAGTGAGGTCAGACTCTGCTCTGCTCCTGGAGAGACGCCATGCTCAGCTCTCCCGGGTAGACCCAAGAGCTCTGCTCTCTGGAGCAGAGACACCACGATGGACTTTGGCTAGAATCTTCCCGGTAAGCGCACCTTGGGATGCTTACACACATCATTAGAAATGGGCTAGTCCAGATGCGAAAATTGGCCTGTAAGGGCTAGAGTTCATGGGTCAAGCAGTTCTTTAAATGAATACAGTTTGTGTGTTGTTATTTCGGACATGAGCTAGCCAAGCGGCCGGGGTGCCGGGGACGCAGCCCTGCCGCCGCCCTGCCGCCGCTCCTATTTCAACACATATGCACCAAACTACAGCTACCACAAAATACTATATGATCTCATTTCTGTTTCCTGTAGTTCTGAGACGTATTCATCTTGCCGAGTCAGTAGTTCCCTCATTTTATAGACAATCAGTGTTCTACTCTACAGATACGACAGAATTTGATTAGTTACACAATTGTTGGAAAAGTTTTAATTACTTCCTGTTATAAAAAATAAACATAATACACATAGTATTTTAACTAATTCTGGAGACAGAATTTATTTATTTTGTTTAAACAAATACAGTTAAGATTGGATAGGTTACATGGTAAGTATATGTTTACTTGTCTAAGAAAGTATCACCCAATATTCAAGAGCACCTGCAACTTTTATTCTTACAGAGAAATATGTAAGAATGTGCTTTGGTTCATTGCTCTGGGTTTTGGTTCCTGTATGGGTAAGCAGCAGCATTTTCTGTGGTGGCAATTTTTATGTCCTGATGGCTAACCACCCTGAGTAGGTTCAATATCAACTTGTATGTCTTTCCGGGAGAACCCTCTTTTTGTTTTCCGGTTTTCATTGAGTTGTTTGCCTTATTTCTGAATCATAAGATTGTTCTTTTTACATAATCTAGATACAAATTGCTTCCTAAGAATAGACATTGCTGATAATTCCTTACATTTTATGGAATTTTTTCTTGAGGAGTACAAGAGTTCTTGGTGAAATTCAAATGATTATTTTTTATGTGATTCATATTTTGAATCACTAAACTTAGTCCAACTTGGGGAAAAGAAAATTTCCCCCTTTTTTTGTAGAGGTTTTATCCTATTTACCTTTCATTCACTTCTGAAATCCAGCTCTGATTAAATGTATGCATTCTTAAGTTAAAGTTAACAGCTCATTTTTTTTCCTATTTTGGTGACCAAAACTCAACAAAAAATGTTTTGTTACTGATTGAATAATCTTCAACTCTATTTTACACACATGTGCGAGCACACACACTTACACACACACACACACACACACACACACACGTTTGGATTTTGGATTTTAGATTCACTGTGCCATTATCTGCAAAAAAGCCCCCCATGTGTTCGATAGTTTTGGAGTCAAGCTTTAACTTATCCACATAGCCAATGAAGGTGAACTTGATGCCTTAACTATTGATTCTTTTGTTCCTAAACTTTGTTTCCATTTTCATATATCTTTTCAGAATTATCCTCTCAATTTTTGCAATTTTTAGTGTTGAGGTATTGTATGTCTTTGATGAAGTGAGCCTTTCTAGTTTCATGTTTGTTTTGCTAATAAAAATATTAGTTCTTTTTTTTATTTTAAGCAACATGTCAATCAATGATAAACAGACCAACAATCAATTCCTGTTTTGACATTGTGTCCTATAGTCTTGTTAAATGTATTGTATAGTTCTCTGTGGATTCCTCGGGCCTAATTCATCCTCCCTTAAGATTCCAGTCTGCTTACTCCAGCCTTTGTCGCTGACATATTTAGTTGAAGTGTGCATGTGTATTCAGGTGTTCGTGCGTGTGCTGCAGAAAAAAAAGAACTCTTTAGAAAACAAATGATTTTAGGCACAGGATATGTTTGTAATTGAAAGGAGCACATGGGGAATATGGAGGATGGAGGGGCTGAGAAGCTTGGTAAAAAAATAACCTCTCATCCTTCCAACTAAGAGATCTCCAAGGTTTAATCTTGAGCAGAGACTCTGGCAAGCATCATGATGACATTTCCTGAAGGAGTAGCCTCTTTTCGCTGTTTGACAGTGAGCTTTCCCTTCCCAAATTCATCTAAAATGTTACACAAGACTGAAAACTTCCCAGACATTTTTCTGAACTCAGTGGCTTCCTTGATGATCTAACACTTCAGATTGAGTTTGCTTCTCATAATCTATTACAAATAAAAGTATATAAAAGGAAACATTTATGTTTTTTCCCCAATAAGCATGGTAATATGATATTCATGTATGCTGTTTTATCCACCTATCAGCAGCCCTTTTTCATTAGACAGTAGCACTCCGCTGTACAAACATGTTAAGTGTGTCTCTATAACTTGTTAAATGGCATTTGAGTAGATTCTATGTCAGGGCTACTAGGAACAAATTTGAGTATGAAGATTTGAGCAGTTTTTTTTTTCAGATGTATAGTTTTACTTTTATGGGTAAATAACTAGAGTGAAGATGTTGGCTTGTCATATTGTGGTGCAGAACTACTGGTTCAGAAGGCCGTTTAGTTTTTCAGATGACATATCTTCTGTTTTTACATCTTGTGAATACACAGAACTCTGGTAATGTGTGTGCTTCTATTAAGCCCACTGAAGCAGTATCTCTGTACACAGTTTCTTTTGAGCACTGGTCCCATAACCCATTTCTCTGTTTATGGCCATGACTTTCTATTCAAGATCAAAGGTGAGGAAAGCAGAACTTTCAATTCCCCTGGTACAGAGTGTAGAAATGTTCCATGCATGTAATGTTTTGCAGAATGTTAATAAATTAAGGATGTTTGGAATATTTTAAGGTCATTTAAAGATTAATGCTGCTTTGTTCCTTTTTTCTATTGTTCATATTAAAAAATCTATATTTTGAATCCTTCATAAAAATGGGTTTTCAAACTCTATAACTGCCTGCAATTAAAATGAGAAAATTCATATATTGTCATGTGTATATGCTCATAGAAATGAAGAAAAACCTGCAGATAAAAGCAAACCATTTAACCCTCACCCAGCACTCCCTCACCAAGTGTGGCCCCCCTAAGACACAAGCAGCTTATCTATCTGGACCCTGTACTTGCTTTCTTATCTTTAAGATAGATGTTCCTTTTCATGACTTGCTTTTTTTCCTAACTGATTGCGCACTGCTCTGATCTGTTCTGAGCCAGTTTCTTTCCTGTGATATTTTTCCATTTGACAATAATGTAAGCTATTAGGAGCAGAGATAGAACTTCACAAAGTCGCCATTTCATACTGTGAGCTTTGGATGCAGGTAGTCTACCTGACCACTGACAGGCTGCCAATGGAGTGACCTTGTGTCTTGTCACCACAAAAGATAAGCAGCATCCTTCTGGGTTTTAATTTCAGTTTCCGAGCAGCCAGCTGCTGCTTGGTATTGTTCCCACTGCGGTGCTGGCTGCATTGTGTTAAGCTATTTTATGTGGCAGTGACACAGGTGTTTTTTTAAAGATGGTTTCCTTTTAATCTAATGCAGTTAATTTTCTGCTTTGTTCATGCTGTGATTGTGCAAGTACTAATGGAGCCCTTCCACCGCATTTTCTCAAGGATGCGGATAGCTCTGAGCTTCACGTAACCTGGTTACTGCCCTTTCTTCAGGCTTTAAGTGCACAGACTATTAACCTGCAGATTTATATGGAACATTTTATATCTTGCTTTTACTTCATTCTCATTAAAACTCAATTCACCAAATAAGATATGCTTTTATCAAAGTCATTCTAGTATTTAATTCAATTCATGGGCACACCAGTGCGGGATAGGGGAGTGGTTGTATTATTAGAGCTATAATTTCTATTTATTAAAAAAAATACTTGGAGAATGAAGTCAATAAGATCACGACTTCTGGCTTTAATAACTTTCCAAGACTTCATGTCATGGGCCAGAAAATGGCCAGACATTGGGCTACATGCCAGTAACAATAATGTTCTTCAGGGAGAAGAAAGAGTGAGAATTTAAATGAACCTGAGATACACAACCAGTTGCAGGCCTGACTCAGAGAGATAGCAAGAAACTGTCTCCACAGAAGAGAGAGGAGGGGTGGCATGAAGAGGAAGGGAGAGTTAGAGATGAAGTTCATAATTGGAACTATCTAGATTCTGGTGATTAGGGTAAATGAGCAGACAGAGGGAGGGGGGCATGAAGAAAAAGCGGATGAAAAGTAAGAAGGGAAGAACGGGTAGAATGGCCAGGTGTTCAAGGCCACTGAATTTACTTAAGGCAGCAGGTTTCATCTCCATTCTTATCAGAGGCCACTCACAGCAGGAAGTATTTTTTTTCCTGCACTCAGATTGGTTGGCAACCTCCACCCTGTCCTCAAACCAATAAACAAACAAAAATATCAAGTATCCTTCCAGATTTTAAGTGGGATCATAAAGATAATATACTAGTTTTTGTCTCAAGCTCCACTGGAAAGACCTGATGGGTTTTGAATAATCAGACTTGGAAGTACTGACCAGTATGTATCACCAAAATTAGGGTATGAAGTTGTCTGGATCTTCTTACAGTCATTCTCTTCTTCTAAAATATCATTCAAAGAATTTACAAAAAAAATCTCCACATATAATCAGAGATAATATCTTACATTACAAGTTATGATCGTATCTATTCCACTTAATAATTTTGTTAATAATACATAACTATTTCCAAATTTAGTCATTGCAAAAGTTATCTGCAGTAGTTTGATACCACTCCCATGGAAGAGTATTTCTGTGCCACTCCCTTTATAATTTGAATGAACTCGTGAATATTTCCACGAACAGAAGATATATAAGATGATTTGTTGAAAGCTGAGCTGAAGTCACAGAAGAATCCTGCTCTTATGCACAACACACAATTACCACAGGATTTATACTCTGAGAAGCTCAGACTACACACAGAATTCATGTTGCTAGCTCCAGTCTTTAAATTGTCCCTACCCAGGAGTATCATAAATAACAAAAAGGGGGTTTCTAAAAATTCCTGGTTTTGACTATTAGAATCCCCTCCAGATACTCCTGTCTCCACAGTTTAGATATCTGATATGATGTGAGAGACAACAGACTTCTTTGATAGGCCCGGCTCCATGGTACAGGTATGCAAGAAAGAACCTGCTTTTTGGGATTGGTTGTTAGGCAGACCTCAGTGAACAGAGGATACATTTTTCTTGAAAGTTCCATGTAGCTAACATGTCTTGGAAATGAATAGGATATTTATTACATAAACCATCTTACTGCAAATGATCTTAGAACACAAATGCAAGGACCTGTGTAGATTAATGGATCTAGGCAAACCTTCTCCTTTTCCAAGTGAGGCAGTGGTATCACATCACATTTACAGATGTGTAGCCTTCAATAGTCTTAACTCACTAATAGAAAAGTTAGACTTCCTAATTAGTGCAATAAAAAACAATATACACTGAATCATGTCAGCAAAGGTAGTTACTATACTGCTATACCAATTAAGCAACAGTATAAAAAGCTTAGGTAAAAGAGTGTGACATGAGGGCCTGCTTGTTGGGGTTTCTGACCTGCCCAGTTCCCACAGCCATTAAATCCCAAAGAAAATCACACAGAGGTCTATTTAAGTTATAAACTGATTGGCCCATTAACTCAGGCTTCTTATTAACTCTTATAACTTATATAGCCCATTATTATTATCTGTGTTAGCCACTTGGCTCGGTACCTTTTTCAGCGGGTCACATTTTCCTTCTTTGGTGTCTGGACAGGACTGGGGAGAAATGGGCTTCCTCCTTCCCAGAATTCTCCTTTTCTCATTGACCTGCCTCTAATTCCTGTCTGGTTGTCCCGCCTATAGTTCCTGCCTGGCTACTGGCCAACCAGCGTTTATTTAAAACACAATTGACAAAATATAGACAATTCTCCTGCACCAAAAGAGAATTAAATAGGGTGTTGGTAAGAGACAAGCTTGTTATGCTCTCAAAATCTAGCCACTTTACACTACAGATCCATGGATGTCTTAAGGATGGTGTACATCTCAGTACAACAGACCCTGGGAACCAGGTGTGACATTTGAATGCATGTTATCCTAACAGTTGGGAGAGTGAAGCAAAAATATCATAATTTTGGCAATATCCTGACCTACATAGTGAAGTCTGCTCCCAAATAAGCAGGAAACCAGCCAAGTAAATAAACACAAACCACTCTGATGCAAGACCTGAAGCTTAGAGAACACATTTTCACCATTTGGTATTGGATAAACAAGCTGGTGTCATTTTTCCTAGGAGAGACTATTTTTTTTTCAATTCAAATAATGCATTGGCTTCCTGAAGTTATTTTATAGAATTGAGAATACAACCCTAAATATTTCTAAAATAAAAAAATAACCCAGCCTATCAAAACATAGTACATATGGCTATGATCAGCACTGGTTTGGATGTCACATTGCTCTTCTATCTCCTTGCTAGGTAGGCAATTTAATCATCCACACAAAAGTGCTATGACTGACATTCCATGGTAATTAATATGTCTCTATAATATGTGCCTTTCCATGTAAGTACAGTCCTGGTTCCTCCCTCTTCTGTCTGGGATGTCTCATAATTGAAGGTGGACAGGCTAGGGGAACAGTCACACGCACAATGCCTTCCTGAATAACTACCTGCAATGAGAATTCTGTAAACAACCATAAAAAGGCCAAGACACTAAACCAATAGACAAATGAAATGCCTTAGAAAAAAAAAGATAACATTTAAGCTGGAAAGACGCTCCAAGCCACTGATTATTTAGGAAATCAAATCCATAACCGTTACCTTTCCATGAACATCAATGGAAATTATGGAGAAAGTGCAGACATCAGAGGTTCTATGCCATGTTTCTAAGTATATAAAATATTGTAGGTACTGTGTAAAAGCATTTAACAATTCATTACAAGAATTGCAAGAGTTCCTCTCCTGGATATATAACAAAAGTAATTAACTAATGGCTTCCAAGATATAGTGGTACATCTATGTTCATGGTATAACTGTATGCAACAAAACAATACTAAGGATGGGAGAATAAAGTAACTTCTTGAGAAACAATGATTTAGTCACTATTTTATTAATATGACCTACTTTATTCTTAATACTAGTAAAAGTCACAGTGTTATGGCATATATCCAATATAATAACAAGGCACAATAATTCAAGTTATTCTTTACAAACATCCATAGAACATTCATGTTTCACCTCTGACATATAAACAGCCATGAAACTATCACTTGTAATAAGGAAAAACATAAACAGACTGAAAAAAAGTATCATATTTTGAAATTTCCACAGACTTCAGGTCATAATACAATTTTTACCCTAAAATATATACAGACTAGTGCATTAATAATCACACAGAGCCAAAGGCAGTCACTGGAAATGACACTGAAATCCAATGTCACATGCTTTAACCTGAGTTAACTTATTTTGTAGTTGTTGACCATTGGGTACCAAAGAAGCTCTCCAAGATCATAGTCTATTCACATCTTTCTTGGCTATCCTCTAGAATTTGGTGAAGATATCATGTGCTTGATTCTTTAGAATTTTTATTTATTGTTTTAATTTTATTTGGCATTCCAACTACAAATTTTCCCTCAAGCATGTGGAGGCTCTATAACAGATTCAGGTATTATTTCCAAAATGCCATCAGCCCCTGGGGGGGGGGGAATGGGGGTGTTTATTTGAGATGTGTTCTCTCCATTGCCTGGAACTTACCGAGCAGTCTAGATTGGCTAGCCCATTAGCAT